AAAATTCCTTCCAATTCATGAATCCAATCCAAATTACACGAAATTGAACCATTATAAAGCATAAACAATATCCAGAAACAACATTTTAAGCAATAAAATCAAGTTTTAACCATTAATTCATGCAAATCATGAAGAAATCATGAAAACCCTATCAAACCCCTTTTTCCTCAATCCATCCTTAATCAAGCTTAAATCATGAAATTAATATGATATTTCAAACCCATACATACTAGATTAAGTCTTATAAGTACTACCCTTACCTCAGAAACTTCAGAAATGCAAGATTTGGACAAACCCCCAAATTCCCAATTCAAACTTCAATCTCAATTTTCAAGGCTTTAGAGGCCAAATCTCCTGAAACTCCAGTTGTGAAGATTGATCCTGGCTTGATAAGCTTCCCAAATATGTCCTCAGCTTCCCTCCGGACCAGAGCCTTTCTCTCTCTACTTTCTCTCTCTAAAAACTGTCTCTGTCTGACAAATGAAATCCTCCGGTCCTAAGTCCCTATATATAGCCATTTTTCAAAATTTCCAAATTTCACCCTTAGCACCTATTCACCTCAAATATCCTATTCCTTGAAGTATTTCAACTCCCTAAGCTCTGAAACAACCTCAAATTCACTCAGAAAGACCAGATTTATCTTATGTTCCTATCCTTCGATCTCCTACCCATCTTATTCCTTTCCATGCAATACTCACAACTCACCACCATATGAAATGCAACATGTGTCAACACACAAACAAATATCACTTTCAGATATAGATGCTTGGAATAATGAGTTGCATGCCATAATACTTCACTTAACCAAGATGAGGAGGAAGGTGATCAGTCTTCTTCCCTCTTAATACTGGTTCAGTATAATGGTGTACAATGCATCATTCACCAAATTCATGCACACACATGCCTATACAAACTATCAAAACATCAACCTCTCATCTCATACTATAAAATCACTATCATGCTTAAATAACAAATCAAAATCACATTAACATACAACATGCATAGAAGTAAGTACATTCCAAATCCACATAAATAACATATACATACATACATATATACTAAATAACTTAGTATTTTCCATGGTGTTACATCGACATTATTCTTTCTCATAGGCTCTTGGCCGGATTCTTTTCGGCTATAGCCCTCCTCGGCCCTAGCCTGGTTTCGGGTTTCCGCCAGCTCCTCCATTTGCATATACTTCTCGGCTCGGCGCCGGAGATCGTTCATATCTCCGGGCGATTTCTTACACAAGCTGTTCACGAATGGCCCTAGCCTCAGGGTGGTGCTCAGCCGGTCCAACGCCACGGCGGGGTTAAGATCGCCAAACTCCATGGCGATCTTATTGAATTGGTCCATGAAGCTTCTCAGACTTTCCTTCTTTTCTTGACGAACCCCCTCTAAGGCTGATGAGGTCGTCTTGTATGGCTTGCTCGTCGCGAACTAGAGAGTGAATTGGGATGACAACTCGTTGAACGAGTCAATGGAAGAGCTCGACAACCTCGTGAACCAACTCAGGGCCCTTTCTTTCAGCGACGTGGGGAATATTCGGCAAAAGGCGGAGTCGTCCTGAGTAGAGAGGGTTGCTTGTGTTAGGAAGACGTTCAAGTGCTATTCGGGGTCGGTAGACCATCGTACTTCTCGATTGGGAGGCTCTTCCAATGGTTTAACAAGGTTTCCTCCATTATCCTTCGGGAGAACGGATGCCTTAGGGAGTGAGTGGGGGTGTCGGCCTTGTTGCCTATCAAAGAGGTAATTGGTGTTCGGGTCACATGGTCAGTTGGGGCATGATATGCCGACTCCTCTTGGAGAGTGGGAGTTGACGGCACATAGGTCTGGTTAAGACTTCGGAGCTCGGCGTTTTGTCGGTGCAGTTCTGCCAACTCCCTGGCATCGGCTTCTCTCTGTCTTCGGATAGCGGCCATTTCCTCGCGCAATGCGCGCAAGTCATCGTGAAGATCAGGCTAGGCTCGTTCGGTGGTCGGCCGGACCTCTTGTATCACAGGCTCCAATTGTGTTTGAGGCATTCCGTACGGGTATCGCTATTGTCCGGCCATGACTGGGTTGTGCTCGGGGTTAGGGATCGGTTGAGTCGATGTTGACAGTCCTTTGCGTGTCACTACCATGTCTTGGTCTCAGTCGTAGAGTTCAAAGGGGCTGAAAAAGTCTCTTCGGCCCCACGGTGGGCGCCAAATGTTCCTGTGTTAGGATACACACTTCAATTATCCTTGTAGAAGCGGGTCAGATCCTGGGTCTCGGTCTTCTCGTTCCAATCCAGGTAGTCCGATATGAGGGGGGGTGCGCCTGCAAAGACACTCCAACGCTCAAGTAAGTGCTCGGCGTAATAAATGTGGTAGTTCAAAGTTAGTTACATACCTCGTTGTGGTCTTATTTATAGTGGTTCTTATTGGGCCGTGATTAAGGATTGGGCCCTGGGAGATTAGGGGGTTAATCTAGTGCATTACGTAAATTAACCTCTCCGTAATCACCCTGGCGTAAGTACAGGGCTTGGCCGAGCACACCGACACGCTCTGTTCAGATTGTGAGTGGTCGGTGGGCTCGAGTATTCGGGTCTTCGGCCTAGTCGGCCATAGACTTGGGTATTCGGGTTTTCGACCTAGTCGGCTATGGACTTGGGTATTCAGCCTAGTTAGTTACCATACAGTATAGATTCATTTCTGTCAGCAAACACATATATCAATTGCCACATAGTGACAGACAGAATTTTGGTCGCTAAATGTATCAGCGACCAAATTTGTTTTAGATGGACTTGCTTTGGTCACCATTTCGGTCTCTAAGTTTATTAGCGACAGAATTCATATGTTAAGCAATTAAATTTGTTGGTGGCTAAATTGTTATTATTATTTTTTAATGGATCTTAATCAAACAGATGGTATATTAAAAAAATAATTAATTTCTATATCGATTATGGTATTAATAATACAAAGATTCACTTTCTAAGTTAGTTATTATCTTAAGAGTTAACCATAGTTGGTGTAAAGTTTTTTTACACTGGCAACTAATCATATCTTTTAATAGTGTCATGTCAGTTGCTTATTTAATAAAATAAAAATAAAATAAAATAATTTAAAAGATATGATTAGTTGCTAGTATAAAAATCTTTACACTAACAATGCATGAATGATTAACTCTTATCTTAATTGACGTAAAAATGATTTATTTCTACATCAATTTAGGCATGAATCGACATAGAAAGCATCAATCTATATATCAGTTAAGATTATAACTGATTTAAAAAGTGAGTTTTCATATAATTTCGTAATAGATGTAGAAAATGTCTAACTTTATGTATGGATTGAACTCATGAGTTCAAAAATCAATATAGAAAGGCCAAAATAACTCAAAAGATAAATGCGCCACAATCTTAGAACTAATATTTACAAATTTCCAATTTTTTTGAAAGTAAATTAACTGAATCTTAAAAGTTTAGAGAATGAAAAATGTAGATTTACTCATATCGAATAAGGGATACATACATATTAATTTGTTTTCAGCAAAGAAAAAATAGTTCGTCGACAATTTAGTACGAGAAAGTCAAACAGATATTCGCCTCGGTAGAATTTAAATTAGACAATAACATTATTTTTTTTTTATTACCAATAAATAGCCAATAACATTTCTATCCAAAATGAAAAAGTAAGAGTGAACGAAATTAATCTATAATAGAGAGCCTCGGGAGACAGAAGCTTTATGATCATTCTCTTTCTAATTTGACTAGCAAGTTATTGGAATATCTTACACAATTATATATTGCTTAAATGCAACAAACAAACAAGACCCCTTTTATAGCAACAAAAAAAAAAAAGAAGAGAGAAAACAATAAAGGAAAAATTGCTAAAAAGGGCAAAATGAGGATATGATGAAACATATATTTTTAAAGAAACATTTCCAAATTGCTTAAGACTTTGCATCTTGGTTAGCTTTCGAGGGAGCATCTGGATTAGGCATAGTTATTAGCACCGAAGAGAGGTTGTTGTTGGTATCTCTTTTTTCTTCAGTGAAATTATCTGTAGCATTAATCATTGGCCCTTCAATTACACCAACTTGAGCATCCTTTACAGGCAAGGGAATTTCATCTGCCACTTTGCTCTCCATTTGTTCTTTGTGTTTTCCCCACAGAACTGAGTATAACCCTATAACAATCAAGATGGCACCTATCACACTGCACCCAACAAAATCTTTAGTTAGTTTGGAATGGATAGTGTAATTTTGATAAAATAATAATAAAAAAAATTATCAGATTTTAATATACCCTTTTTTGCACTAGTATATGTTGTTTTGTAGGCTATAATAAGTTGTTTTTATAACGTGGTGGGCAATGAACCTAGCTAGAAATGATTTTATTAACTTGTATTATAGGAAATACTTTTAATATACATAGTACACATGGGTTATCTTATTTTAAAACTAAGTTTCTCAAATACGCATATTTTAATATACATCGTATGCAGGTTAGTCTAAAATCTAAATCATGAAGTCCCAGCCACCTGCAACATATTATAATTATATATAAAGAGAATACTATTTTCTTTTTCACTTTTCTTAAAAGATATTTATTTTTTTAACAACAAAAATTCTCCTTTATAATAATCTATAACGAAATACAATTTTTTTCCTTACTTTTCTTGAAACACATTTATCGATTTTTTAATTAATAATAATAGCTCTCTCTCATTTATTTGTTAATATCCATATTTATCATTTGTACACTTCTTTTTATTGACTGTAACTTTCTTTTAAATAACATCACTCTTAACGTGTAAACACACAAAAATTGAAACCATGTCCAATCTCTCTCTATTATAAGTAATGCAACATGTATCTAGCTTCAATAATGGTAATTTTCCATAGAAATTTTTTGTTAACCAATTCATGTATATATTTGCAAAAGGTTGGGGGGGATAGAAAATTACCCTCCAAGATAAATTTGTTCCGCAAGGATAAAGGAGCCCATGACAGCCACAATGATCATCATTAAAGGGCTAAAGGCAGTTGCAAAGACAGGCCCTTTCTTCTTAATCACCAGTCCTTGTACAAAGTATGATATACTTGAGGTCACAATCCCCTAATTGAATAAAAAAAAAATGCAAATCGCTTGTTATAATTAAATTAAAAAAGGAAAATCCAACAATGACGTCCCTTTATAATAAATTTAAGAAAAAATCATTTATAATATACTCTTTTTAATTGTTACCTAAAATTTATTAAAAATCGCATGTCACCAAATAAAAAATAATTCATTAAATGAGATGTGAAACATATTAAAATTTATGATTTTCATTTCTTTTTAATCAACAACGAAAAAAGTATTAAAAAATGTAATTTCGGTAGCATTTCTATGAAATTAATTAATGGCAGGAAATGTTAATTCTCATATCCTCACAGCATAGGCAGCAGCAAGTAAATTCATATCCAAGCCAATTCTCCATACTGAAGGATTGTGTTCAGCTACAAAAGTAACAGCAATAGCTTGAATTGTGCCTATAAAGCACACAAGTGAAGTTAGGCTTAGCTGATGATTCTTGTACGTCTGTATAGCTTTGGCCTGCCCAATAGCATAAAAATGAATGTCAATTATTTGCATTTCATCAACAAAAAGATACACTTACCAAATCAAAAGCATGAGAGAGACCACAAAAGTTATTAGCACATTTTTTTTCTTCTTTCTTTTTGATGTCTTACTTGTAAAACAAAGAGGGAAGCCCAAGCAAGGGTGGCAATCATAAGAAAGATGCACCCTAAGAACCAATCTTTGTCCAATGATCCTGTGGTGCTTGTTCCATTGGTTTTACTGTGTGGATTAGCATGCTTGGCCCATACCATCTCCACTATAGGACCTCTGTATAAGGTCATCAACATAGCTCCTGCAGCTGTCACTAATGTTCCCACTATCTTTGCTATGCATCTCACCTTCTTTAAGTTTATCTTCTCCATCCTTTTCACACGTTCCATCCATAATAAAAAAACACAATTAGCACTTCTTACAGATAAAAAAAGTGAAACTTAAACCACCTGTCCCCTTCTTGATCTTTTTGTTTAAAAAATAACATCTACCCTAATGAAAATTAATAATTAAGATAGAGAATATAGTTTTGATGTGTAGTGTAAAAATTTGATTTTAGTTGTTATAAAAATTTGATTTCTATATTTATCAAAAGTAGAATGATTTTAGTGCCTCGCGTCAAAGGACTTAAAAAACACGGCTTTATGTTAAAATGTATGTATTAAAAACACATTAAATTTTGTTAGGAGTTACAATTAATAATTTGAAATCTTTTAAAAAAACAAAAAGCATGTTTTAACCTTTTCAGTAATGCTTTATTTTCCAATTAGATACCCTCGAAAAATTCAGGGTTTGGTTAACGTACCGGCAAAAGAATGCCATCACAAAAGTCATGGCTGGAAGCATGTTGCTCAATGCACATGAGAAGGTTGGGGATGTGAGCTTCAACCCAGCATAGTAGAAATTTTGATCAATGACAGGCCTGTTTTGTTAATCCAACACAAATAATCATATTACTATATGCAATTTCTAAATCCATATATTCACCATGCTACAATATAGAACTTGTAAGTGCATATATATGAAACTTGGGATCACTAACCCGAGAAGTGCTAGGATAAAAATTTGCATGAAAATTCTGAATGTTATCTTCGGTTGACCTTTCCTAGAAAATTGAAACCATGAATAAGCATTAACTTGCTAGGATTTATGTTAATAAAAAATAATAAATGACATGGTAATGACTAAGGTGTATGTTTAATTATAAGATGAACCTTTCAAAAATAAAGGCAAAAGGAGCGATGGAAAGGGTGGCAATAGCGTGGCGATAAACCACGAGGACATAGTGGCTCATGCCTTGGTTGAGGGAAACCTTAGTGATAATGTTCATGCCAGCATAGCCAAACTGTAAAGAGATCATGGCCAAGTAGGGTTTAGAGCTCTCAAAGAATTTTGCACAACCTCTAAGCTTTTCAGTGGCCATTTTTCTTCAACTTTTGAGAAGGAGAGTTTGAAAAAAGGGTGAGTGTTATTCTACAGAGAAGTTAATTGAAGAGGAAGAACACTTGAAGAAGGCTTGTGTTTCTTCCTAAGAAATATCATGCCAAGGATCCTACTATTTATAATTTTATACCAACAAGGAATCAAATGGTTTCGTCTTATGCATGTACACGTAAATATTGCACTGCCCCTCTTTCCTTTCTCGCTTTTCTAATGGGGGGCAGGTCGACAATGCATATATTAATGACTAACTTGGTAGACAGATCGAAAAAAAAATGAACAAGTAATATGATAATGGAATGAAAAGTGACTAATAAAGTAGGCTTTGAGTTTTATAACATCTTATAAGAAAGTTTACTTTATTGTTCTTTTGCAACTTTAAACTTAATTGATACTATCCATTTTTTAAATGAGATTCCACTTCTTTAATTCGCAATTGATATTCCACAATCCTTGCCTGCTTATTATTTTTACCAGAATCTTATAAGTCCTTTAATGGTTGGATGATGTCCTCGTTATTCCGATGTCCATAGCGGAAAAAAGTCATTTGCAAAGAGATTTTGATGCACAAGTTAGGGAGGAGTTTAAGTTAAGAATTAGGTTAAGGTCGAATGATATTTGGTGCCTCGTATATATGATTGATGTTGTCTCTAGGTTTAGAGATAGTGTTGTATGATATCTTGGAGATATCTCCCTATGATTGTGTAGGGATATTTTTATTGATTAGCGAACATACTGTTCCAGATAAATGAAGATATTTTGTTAGGTGATCACAATGTGTTAGAATACGATATTTATGGAAGATATCCATTCTAAGATATTTCACTAGCCATTAAGGATTAATTGCTTAGGGTTTTATTACATGATGATTGGGTGAAAGGCCTAACATGGATGAGTTGGAGGGGGTCAGCTCAGCTTGATCAAGGTAATGTGGGCAAGCTGGAGGTAGTCAATTCTGCTCAACTAAGGGGGGTAGCGCATAAGCCCTTGAGCTCCAAGTTTGTTAGGGTGAAGGAGTTAGAAAGGAGACTACCTTTCTTCCTTTATTACTGGCGAGATAAGGAAGTGAAATTTGTTGTATGTTGTTCAAGTTGATTAGTACGGGTGGTATAGAGACCCTTTGAGCTTTGTGTAGTTTTGATTGATTGCATTGTAATTAATGAGTGATTGTTAACGGTTTTTTTGTGTGCATTAATGGTCAATAAATGCAAGGTATCGAATTTCGTACTTGTTGACTGTATGTTAAACAAGGTGGGGGTTTTGTTTCCTTTTGTAGTTTATTGACATTCTTGGCTTAGTGGGTTATTTCTTGTAGTCTATGATCGTGAGGTATGTTTTCGTGTGGCGATGGTCTTGTTGGTGGTCACCACTTTTGACAACTTAATGAGTGGTTCCATTTCAATAGATTTGGTGAAATAATCAATGATGACCAATAGAAATTTGACTTGTCCTTTGACTACTAGGAAAGGTCCCAAAATATTCATTCCTTATATTTTAAAGCGCCAAAGGGAGTGAATGTTGTGGAGTTCTTCCATTAGTTGGCGTGTGAGCATGCCAAACTATTGGCAAGTTGGCCATTTCCTGGTAAAGGTTTGATAGTTAACTTGGTTGGCCAGTAGTATTATGCTTGGAGCACCCTTACTACCATTGTCCTGGTGCCTGAGTGCATTCGACAGATGCCTTCATGTATCTCTTGTAGTACATAGTTTGCCTATTCTTTATTGAGGCATTTTAGTAGGGGAAAAGTGTCCAATTTTGAAGAGCTTGTTGATTATGATAATGTACCAACATGATTGTAGTTTTAGCTTATTAAACTCGGTTGGGTTGTGTAGACACCTAATTTTGTCTGGACCTACAAGCAAAGAAATGAACTTCTATTATGAAGAAAAGGAGCTCCCGAAGCATAGAAACGACATGATATGACATTAGAAGGCCTAAAACCCAATGAGGGTGATTTAGTAGCCCGGAACGAGTCGTTCCAAACTACTAAAAGGCCTAGAAACCCTAGTTGGGAACAAGTCAGAACGGGCCATTCCAACACAAGTTGTTACGAGTCAAATTCAAATCTCACTAGTACAAAATGGGTAATTTACATCTGTTATTTTAAGCTTTTTAGGTTAGAAAAAAGTTTGACATTAATGCGGGAGACGTAAATTTACGTCGGTTGTGATAGCTGACATAAATTTACGTCGGACATTGCTAAGACCCGACGTAAAAAAGTTGTAAACCAAAAAAAAAAAAATGAGTGCAAGCAGGGAGAACGGGCCGTTCCACATGATATTAACTAATATATTAACAAAGGATGATCCACCCAAACGTGATGAAGATGATAATATTAACTAATATATTAATAGATCAATACATACATTTATTTTCAACAAATTAGCTAATATATTAAGAAAGGATTTTCCAAACTAATCTCAAACGCGAGCTCAATGCAATCGGTCAAAAACTCAAGAACCACCCAAACGCCCAAACGTACACTTAGATGCAATACACTCAAACAAAATATTGACTCAGAAGACTCGTCTTGCACATACACTCAAGATATATATAATTCAAAGCTCTTAGGACGTAGGAGAAGAGGAAGTGGCGCGGGGAAATTTGAAGATATTTTACATCGGACCTCATAGGAGCTGACGTAAATCGGAAAATCTACTTCCGACACAAACTATATCCGACATGTTTTTTTATTAAATGAAAATCGAACCAAATAAATAAATAAGACAGCCATGTATAAGCTCCTAATAAGCGAAAATTAATACAAAAAATTCCATAGAAAAAAAAAACGTGTGGTTGAAAGAGTAGTGGAAGGTCATCCGATAACGGTAAACATCTAAAAGGCTTATCGTGCATGTATGGTATACATAAGATGCATATTCAGAAGGAATAATTTTTCACATCTAAGGGGAATTATCTAAAAAACAATAGAATATAAATATTTTCTAAAGCATACATACACCATTTACATAAAAAAAAATCTCTTCTATATAAGGAAAACCAAAAATTGAAGATAGAAGAACTAACAAAAGAAGTCCTCAGCCCAAGGATCAGCCTACAAGCAAGGAGCAAGGTCCCCTCACACAATGATTAGATTAGACAGTTGGACAAGGTCAAGCAAATCCACGTCGACATCACAATGATCAATCATCAACAAAAGAAGAGCCACAACACCCAAGCAGAATCCGCCTGGAGAGTCATCATAATACTCACTTGGCGAGAGAAACACAAAATTCTCGCAACACACACATCCTCAAGGAAGACTCCTGGAGAGGCATCATAATACTCACACAGCAGGAACAACACCATAATCCTACCACCCATCTCATTCCCCAATGAAGACACCGGAAGAGGCACTACAATACTTACCTAGCGGGGCATCACACATCTCGTTAGCCCTGGCCCAAAAATGAAGGGCATCGCAGGCATTCCCCTTCTTGTCAACCCGAGGGGCATCCCATAACACCAAGGAGAGGACACTGTCAAGTTCCTCAAGTACAAGAGCGAAAAAGGTTGCTAGACCCTCAAAACTAGTACAAGATCAGAAAAGGTTACTAGACTCTCAAAACTAGTACAAGAGCGAAAAAGGTTGTTAGACCCTCAAAACTAGTACAAGAGCAGAAAAGGTTGCTAGACCCTCAAAACTAGTACAAGATTAGAAAAGGTTGCTAGACCATCAAAACTAGTACAAGATCAGAAAAGGTTGTTAGACCCTTAAAACTAGTACAAGAGCGGAAAAAGTTGCTAGACCCTCAAAACTAGTACAAGAGCAGAAAAGGATTGCTAGACCCTCAAAACTAGTACAAGAGCAGAAAAGATTGTTAGACCTTCACAACTAGTACAATAGAGGAAAAGGTTGTTGGACCCTCAAAACCAGTACAAACTCGGAAAGGGTTATTAGACCCCTAAAACTAGCAGACGACTTGGATTGGGCCAACTAAAGCCTCAAATATCAGTCCAGCTTGGAGAGGCTGAGCTTAGAACATACTCCCTCATCAATGACCTACGAATAAAGACCACACTACCATGAGACAAGTGAAAGTAGCAAGAAGCATCTACACCAAGCCAAAGGCCTAAATGGCGTAGTTTGCCACCCTTGACACCTGGTAGAGCATACAACCCAACACTTAGTTTCTCTAAGGGAAAAGGATACAGGTAAACACCATCTACCCAAAGGAAACAACGTGGAGGCATCTACTATCAAAGCAAGAGAGAAGATCCAGATCTTCACCTTATCATCACAAGAAAAGCAACTAGCAGAAATGACTTGGAGCATCTACTCGAAGACTGAAGGTCAGGTGTATAGTTTGTCACCCTTGTTACCCAATGGAGTACGCAAACCAACACTTAGTTACTCTAAAGTGCAAGGACACAAACAAACCCACTTGTCCAAAAGAAACGACGCGAAGCACCTGCACGAAGAGATAGAGAGGGAGACCTGGATGAAATGTCTACATCTTTACTTGCCTTTGGAAAAGAAAACACCTAGCTATCCTAAAGGATAAGTAAAGAGGGGTAGTTGTAGACACCTAATTGCGTCCAGACCCGCAAACAAAGAAATGAATTTCTATTATGAAGAAAATTAGCTCCTGAAGCATAGAAACGACATGATATGACATCAGAAAGCCTAAAACACAATGAGGGTGATTTAGTAACTGGAACGGGTCGTTCCCATTCTGGAATGGGACGTTCCAAACTACTAAAAGGCCTAGAAACCCTAGTTGAGAACGGGTCATAACGGGCCGTTCCAACATAGGTTGTTACGAGTCAAATTGAAATCTGGAACAGGTTGTTTTGACACCGGAATGGACTATTTTGGATTCAAATTTAACTCGTAACGAACTAATCTAGAACAGGCCATTCTGAAACTAGAACGGGCTATTTTGGCCATTTCTGATGTCTATAAATAAAAGACTTTAGCACTATTCCCGGGGCCAAAAAAATTCATCTCGGAAGTCTCATATAGCTTGAAATTTCTCTCTCTCCTTCCTCTTGTATTTCTTGAGATTTTATGAGGTACATTGTAGTGTGTTAGGTAGCCAAAAAGCACCTAAGAGTCTCCATACTTTAAGATTCAATAAAGCTCGACTAAGAGGTATTTC